TTTATTGGTCAAAGATGAACAAGGAGTGACCAAGAAATGCAAGTTGAAGGTGAAGGATGTCTTCAATTTATCACCCCAAATGCGAATAATAGTGAATTTTGACAAATATTTGTCATCCCTTGGAGAGGCAGCTGGGTTGCTTGCAGGAGTTTGTGGACAATGGCAATTGACATTATTGCATTTCCCACTAACTTCTCCTCATAGTCACTCATGCCACCATGCTTCTTTGACCATTGTTTTCACCATGCTTTGAAGGTATTCAGCTTTTAATTCTGTATTTGGATTAAATATTGTAATAAACTTTTGTTGAATGTTTATTTTAAACATGAACTCCTCTTTCAAGGGTTCCAACAGAACTTAACATATAGTTCGGATGTCTGATTTATTTTTCTAGTTTTACTAAGTTGTAGATTGTTTATTCATCCTTATATTTAAAACTTTTCAATTGATTGGCCAATAGTTGAATTAATTTAGGAATCAAATTGATTCTTGAAAAAGGAAGACTAGATTTTGCCTATAAGGTGCAATAGCCTATGTTTGATTTAATTGCAAGGTAGTTAAACTAATTCATGTGTAAGATAGGAATATACCTGCTCATCTTAAATAGCCAAATTGGAATTTGAACTAAATGAATCTAGTTAATTTTGAATTATATAGGAATATACGAATTCAAATTTATTTAGGTATTTTTATAATATTTTGGAGAAAATTATAAATAATTTAGAATTTCAGATTAACAATTCCATCCTGTTTTAAAATCAAACAACTAATGAAATAATTCCAAATGAGTGTTAAGAGAAATAGAAAATTTTACATTCTCTACATTTCTAGAATATCTATGACATTTATTTTATTAGTTTAATTCTATTTTGGTTTATTATTCCTTAGCCTTCAATTAAATATTTGGATAGAATTGAATTATGTTAATTTTAGTACTTAGTGATTGTTTTTTAATTAATTTCTCATAACAATGATATTTTATTCATCACTATATTACTTGTCACAATACGTATACTTATATGTTGAAAATAACAACATATATCACTAATGTTTCAAAGGGAATTGCATTGTAATATGGAAGGTAATACTTGCCTAATTAGAGGAGTTACCGACATGATTTGTGTGATTTGTTTGTATGCAGCATATCTAATGTATTTTAGATATTATTACACATAGAAAATTTTACATTCTCTACATTTCTAGAATATCTATGACATTTATTTTATTAGTTTAATTCTATTTTGGTTTATTATTCCTTAGTCTTCAATTAAATATTTGGATAGAATTGAATTATGTTAATTTTAGTACTTAGCGATTTTTTTTATTAATTTCTCGTAAGAACAATACTTTATTCATCACTATATTACTTGTCGCGAAACGTATACTTATATGTTGAAAATAACAACATACATCACTAATGTTTCAAAGATAATTACATTGTAATATGGAAGGTAATACTTGCTTAATTAGAGGACTTACCAACATGATTTGTGTGATTTGTTTGTATGCAGCCTATCTAATGTATTTTAGATATTGTTACACATAACAATAAATGTATATTCAGATCAAATGGAAGAATGTTGAACTAATTTTTGTTGTATATTATAAATTATATAATTCTCCTTAGAAAACAAAAACTGATTCTCATCCATTGTCCTATTAACACATCCCTTTTGTTTCAAGGATAAGATATAGAATTCAGTGGTTATCTAGTTAAATTTTGGTGTTATCAAACAATCCAATTATCTCGATGGCAGATGGCCCATAAATATGACAAGCAGAAGATTCCTAACCATGACAATTCAAAATCATCACTCCATCAAGTGAAATTACCCATTAGTTGGAGGGCTCTCTAGCAACTAAATTCTCTCTCCATTTTCATGGTTTTCATCAACTTCAATAATAATGACTAAAGGTTGAATCTTTCCGCCACTTACGTTTGTGTATAGGTTATTTGTACCTTGATTTACATAGCTCTCCGGCAGTCATGGCTTTATTAGGCATTTTTATTTAATAAAAATGAAATTACTTATATTTTCTGAGGGGAAACATAAATTATCGATTTGAAATTCTGTCCAGAACATTATTCCTAGCTTTGATTTTAGGCGATTTGGAATCAGGTCCATGCACATGGAGATGACTTCGGAGAGCTTTACGAAGGACGAAAGGAACATCTCTCCCACTCGCGAAAGAACAACGAAACATCTCCCTCTCTCCGTGCCATCCTTTCTTTGATTTAGTGCGGGCAGTTGGGCCGCGACAGGTTGAATATTTCTGAAGTGCATTGACAATCTGTACTCTTTAAGTAGGATTGATGTTACTCAGACTACTTTATCCAAGCAAGTTCGTGAATGTATCAACTACTTAGTTTTCCATGTGAGTCTTGGAGCATTGTTAAGGAAAGATTTTAAGTCCATGATGACCTACTTGTTGAAAAATAACACCCATTAAACATTGTTAAGAGGAGATTTTAAGTTTATAATAACGTGCTTTTGAAAGTTACACTCAGTGTCGTCTTTAATATAAAGTAAGTGAAACATTTGTTTAGGTTGTTCAAAATTTTAAATCCAAAATTTTAGTTCTTACAATATTTTATTATTTTCAATAAATATAATTTTAAAAAAAAAACTCATAACAATTAGGACCCATAATTTTTATATAATTCATACTAAATAGTTGAATACATCCTAATTACCTCCTCATTATTCCTAATTTTTCTCTCCCATTTATCTCATAAATAAAATCTCCTATTTACAAAATATTATCTTTTAACTTTAAAATCTCCTAATTTTTCTCCCTCGTTATTTCTCCGCACTGCCCCAAATATTCTAACTATTTTATTAAATTTTTTTAAGGTTCCTTTTCTTACATTGATATTTCTTTCCATTAAATTAGCTATATTATTAATTGAGAAAGAAATATTGGAGAACAATTGAGTATAAAAATTTAATTAGCAATTTTATATCTCAAAAAGTTAAATAAATAATTTTTAAATAATAATTTATATTAATTTTATTTAAAAAAATTTTAAAAAAAATCTTAGATTTAGTTTCAGGCCAGCAAAATGGTTGAGCCACCTTGACTTCAGACCATCATCTTTTATTTTTTTGATACCTTGATCTCATTTATTTTTTATTTTTTTTGTTTTTCTCTACAAATTCAAAAATTTTCTCACCATTCGTAGAACGTGCGGATAGGAAAAGTCTAGTTATATCTGTTATTTTAGAAGAAAATAAAAGAGTATTTTGGTTGATACAAAAAATTATGGAAAAGAATTTTGCAAAACAGAATACTTATAGAAAGAAAGCAAAAGAAAAAAAATACTTTTAAAGGCTTCTCAAAACAGAAAACATATTATATTATAAAATTAAAAGTTGAATATAATGTTACTTGTGCCGTCAGTGGTAGTCTAATTAGATGACACGTCATTGACAGTATTAAAATTCTATGCTACTTATATTATTTTAATGATTTATCCTATTAATTTGTTAATCACTATTTTCAATTAAAAAAAAACTAATTAAAATAGATGCATAATTATGTATATACACGCATTCAACTTCATGTTATATTCACCTAATTTAATTTTTCTTTAATTTTACATTTTTTATAAATTTAAATAGAATATATATTTTTTTTATCTATTTTCTGTTGAATTTCTTGCATTTAAATTAAAAAATAACTTGGAAATCACTTGTATTACTAATTCCCAACTCCTTGAAGTGATACCCATCAATTTATTAGATGGTCCCTCCGTTTAGAATCTGGGTATATTTTTAGTCTTTGAATTTCCGCAGCCACCGCTGCCCACTTCGCAGCTTCTTCCTGAGCCTCAACCTCACTGGTGACGTCACGCCGGCGGGCTTCGCTAGCAACGGCGGACAAAAAGCCAAGCCACCACCACATTGACGTGGCAAGCGCGCCTAGATGCGCGTGCCACCCCTTCTTCCCACTTGCTTCGTGTTCCCTGTCTAGGGCCTGCTTGAACCCCCGACACCCATCCACGGCCTTACACGTGTCTGGCGTCTGCATGGCAGCCCTATCCAGCTCGCCCGCCACGTTCCATTTTATGGAAATGAAGATAGACTCGTGCGGTGAATCTCTCCCGTCCTTAAACGAGTTTATTATAACATTTGGATTCTCCTTTATTTGAATTTAAATTAAATAAATTTAAATAATTATATTTATATTTATATTTATTTTAAAATTTTAAAAATTTTATATTTATTAAATTGATAATAAATTTAACGGATAATTTAAAATTTAATTTGAGATAAAATAATATTATTTTATACTTAATTTTATTAAATTTATTTTATTAATTATATTAATTTTTAATTTTTTTATTCTTTAATTTAATTCATATAACTTATAATTTATAAATATTATATAAAAAATTAATAATTTAATTAAAAATATTATTAAAATTCAGATTCAAATATTTAATAAATTAAATTACTTAATTTTATATTTAATTTATTTATTTTATATTACAAATATTTATAATTAAACTTGGATTTATAAATATTATATAAAAAATTAATAATTTAATTAAAAATATTATTAAAATTCAGATTCAAATATTTAATAAATTAAATTACTTAATTTTATATTTAATTTATTTATTTTATATTACAAATATTTATAATTAAACTTGGTTAATTGAATGTTTCAATCATATTTAAATATTAATTTTAAATCAAATTTAGAATAAATTTAAATTATAATTCAATATGTTGACGTTTCTAATAATGACAATCATAAAGGGACATGTTAATATATATATCGCATTACTTGTAGTTAAATCATTCAAGTGGTTGGGTCAAAATTTGACAACCCTATGGCTGGCTTGCGCAGATAAAACCCGAATTCGTCTACCCGACCCAACTGCCACCTCTGCATCTACACGTGCGAAAATATACTATATATAGCCCCATACCCACCTCTCAACTCCCAAGTTGTCACCTTTACCGAGAAGTAATACTTGCAAGGTGTTTTCAATGGAGACCTTCCACTACCAACTCCCAAACACTCTCCACTTCTTCTCACCGCCATCTCTCTCCAATCCCAAAGCCCAAAAATCTTCTCTAATCCAATTCCAATACCACCCAATTCACGCTCCGAACACAGGTAATTTCCGCTTGCGCAGTTTTGACGGTTTATTGCGGCCACGGGCGGCGAGCGGCGGCATGCTGGCGGAGCTGGAGAGGGAGCTGAAGGAGGAGATGAAGGAAGGGGGGAAGTGGAGAGGGAAGTGTTCAGAGAGAGGAGGGATCGCGGAGGTGATGGAGTGTTTGGAGAGAGAAGCAATCATGGGAGAGGATGAAGGGAGAGAGCCAGGAGATTACAACAGAAGAGCTGACATATTTGAGAAGAGTTCCAGAGTGTTCCAGGCCCTCAAGGAAAGTGATGAATTAGCAGGAGGAGCTGCCCCCACTAATCCCTGAAGTATTTTTATTGTCTAGAAGTGTTTAAGTTATGAAGATTAGCAGCTTATGATGTTTATACAAGTAAACACAAAAGTCCTTTTGCGCTTCCAATAAGCATGTATTAGCTATTTCTATGAATCAAATATCTGTTTGGTTTTAGAGTACTTGCTTGTCCCCGTCTTCTTTCTTGTGTTTGATTGGAGAAACCGGTCTACTCCAATTATGAGAGAAGTAAAACACATCCAATCTAAACCTCTTTGGTTACGTAGAGATGCAGAAATTAAACACCTCTATAATTTGATAGTTTGAACAGAAATTAGCTAAAGTCTAATAAAATTTGGATAAAATTATTTTTTGCTCGTGGTAAAAATTAAAAAGATTTAAATTGTAATTTGTTTTTGTTTTTGTTTATAAATATATTTTAATATTGGGGATTTAAATTTAGAAAAGAGGGAGGGAGTTGAGAATTAAATTTTTTAATTTTGAATAAATTTTATGTAATTTGAATTAAAATTTTAAGTTATTTAGACATAATTACAACTGACGTACACCTAACATGTGTGGATATGAATAAATGAAAAATAATAATAATTTAAAAATAAACTTTGAAAATGAGAGATTGAAGGTGGTTTACTTGGCGAGTAATAGGAAATGATGTGATGGGAGGCCAGGAGTCTTGTTTTGGTGGGGCACGGCTGTGGTTCCTAGCAAGTCAAAGAGAAGTGTAGACACCGAATCACGACTTTTCGTTCAATTTTTTTTTTATTTTTCAATTTTTTAGATTATGAATTTTAAAAATAAATAGTTTAAATCTTTTTTTACATTCAAATTTAATTTTTTCCTGAAATAATATAAACCATCCTTAATAATGTAAACAAACTTCTAATTTACTTTTATTTTTCGTTATTTTACTTTTGAAATGAAGAGATACAATATCCTTCCTACCTGTTATTGGTTAGTTTATATTTTTACTACTATTTGAAATTTGTATAATCTGTGAAAAATATAAAATAAGATAAAATTTATATTTTGCATGAAATACTTAGTGGTAAAAATTTAGGGTAAGAAATGAAACTGACAATGACAATCTAAATTTACCCACTTGTCCATATGAACGGCAGGCTTAGTGCTGGAAAGAGATTCCTTTTGAGTTGTCTTAATTGTTTTGGACAGTATTACTCCCTTTTTTCCTATAACTTTATTCTTTTTTCTTTTTTCCTTTTTTTTTATAAATGACTAACAGTGGACCCTGACCATGATATCTATAGGATACCTCAAACTTATTTTCGTTACAAATTACCTGATTCCCTTTACCGTGGACGAGGAAGAGAGGGAGGTAGGTGAACTAGCGGCTAATATGGATTGATTATCTAGGAAGCAGCTGGGTGCTATTGGGTGAGATTTGACAGTCGTAGAGACTAATTGTAAAAATTTATACGTGCAAGGACCACTTGCAAACTGCCCAAAATTTATATTCACTGCCCAACATTTTTGTTCTTTCAGCACTTCAATGCATCCAAGTGGCAGTGGGTAACATTCAGAACGTCTTGTGCATGGTAATATCACATCTCCCGCCCCTTCTCTCGCCTCAAGTCCCACAAAGACGGCACGCACACAAAGGGGCTGTGTCTAGATGAGCTGTGGAGAAGAGTCGGTAACCGTGAGGTCACAAAAACTAATCGTTTTGGGGGAAGCTCAAATAGGTATAAAATAACAGAGAGCATCAAACATTAATATTCAATTCAAGAATATGAATATCTTTCCTAGAACTGATTTGAAATTTGGATTCAGGATATATATATATATATATATAGAGAGAGAGAGAGAGAGAGAGAGAGTCAAAAACAGATTATTTAAGGAAAAATCTTAAGAAAGAACACCAAACAAATTTTTAGGACCCGAGGTTATTCATTGACAGGAAGAAAATAATACTACAAATCAACTTGTTTTGCAGTTTTCTTATCAGCAGCAATTGCAGAAAAGTGGACGCTCCATCATCCAAACGTCACATCCGTATGGCCATTCATTTCTCCTGGGACTCTGATTTCTCGAGAAATGTCTTCTTCAACCAGTCAAAAGGCTGCGGAAGCATTCAAAAAAAAAAAAAGTAAGAAATATTAATACTTGGGCATAAACTTAAAAGGGAATAAGTGATGCAATATCAGATAATGATGAAAGCACTTCCATGGCAATTTCATTACGTTTCTAGATAATTTCCGTGAGTTTGAAAGCTCCTAACACGTGTAAATAACAAGCAAATTCAATAATAAAAGAATCGTTTTTGTTTGTTTTCCCAGGGCTTGTTTGATTTCCAGGAGAAACACCCGGGATTTCCACTATGCGGATTGGAGAACGATCAAGGCTGTCAGTGCATCCGAAGTGGGACTAATTAGTCACACCTGCCCCATGGGACTGATAGTCCCAGCACTGGAGACTTCCCAGTCGTCAGATTTTGCCAATGGCCAATATTTAGTGAAGCACCCTCTTTTACTTCACCCCATTAACTTGTATTAAGCAACAAAACAAACTAGGTATAACATAAATTATTAATCCAACCCTATGGAATTTAATCACATCTTATCCAATCACTCCTCCCTATTTATCCATTCACTTTTAATCCAATCCCACATTTTGTTTCCCAGAAATCAAACCTGAGCACAGCATTGCTTGATAGTAAACCACGTGCACCATTACAGCCTAGAAGAACACTCTTTGAAACCATAGAAAATTCATCACCTCTCAATTTAAACCACATTTTTGCTATTTGCAAAATTGTTCATGGCACTAAATTATAAGGAAAATTTACAACTAGACATTTATATAGAGATGAGGCGGAGGAAAGACGGGAAAACCCGATACATTGTCAAAGAGCAAAATGTTGATATATTAGCTATAGATAAAATATACATGTCAAAATAAAACACCAGCAACAAGCATTTGAAAATTGCGAGCTTTGGTTCAATAAGTTTGATCAATCGTCAACAAAACCTAAAAACTTATCATCAAAATCCACCAGGCAAAATGAACTGTGATCGACAAAGTAAATCCAAATTACATCAATTTCATTGTCCAAAAAGAAATTTTTCCAAAAATCAACCAAGTTTGTTGATAGTTTTCCGGGAAAATAGAGTCTGCTTTTGAAAATTCAAGATTGATAATCAACAGAGGTAATCAAACATGCACAGAGATCTGTCAAAGTGGGTAGGTCACACAAGAACGCACCAAAAGTCATAATAGAGGCTAGGTTCATCAGATGTTGACTTTTCATAACATAGGCCAAGCAACTTGAAACTAGCATCACTTCCGGCCCAATATGGTGAAGCAGATATGAATACATCTTAGTAAAAAAAAAAAAAAAAAAAAAAAAAAAAAAAAAAAAAAAAAAAAGAGAGAGAGAGAAGGAAAATTGCATGAGATGCCTACATTAAGGCACTAGGTTTTAAGAAATTAAAACACATTATGAACAAAAAATGGCATAAAGATTTGCGAACTATAATATAGTTATAAGCCAGAAAATAGCATTAGTAATAACATTTTGACAGTTGAACACCCAAAAGCCATTTACAGATCGAATCAACAGAAAAATCCAAAATTATAGCTAAATTTAGAAATGATAACGAACAAAAATGAGATATAGAAGAAAGAATGGAAGAACGACGATAAGAGAACAAATTCACCCTCAAGTACATGTTTATGAATAAATCAAAGATAAGCTATTTGGAATAGAAATGCATAAATGTATAAATTACAGACCTGGACGAGCCAAAGGCCGCCGTAGCGGCGGCGACACCCCACGTGGCGGCGGCCTGGATGTCGGTGGACTGAGGCCGAAGCCCGGGTCGTAAAAATTTAAAGAGCCCTGATCCCGACACTGGAGCTCCGGCCATCCGAGATTTTCGCCGGTGACGTCGTAGTCGCTTTCCGAAAATCAACTCTTTTCTCACCCTTTCGGCTTTTCCTCCTCCAGATGCGAGAATGATGCCTTTACTTGTCAAGACTCATGAGGGCCCAAACGGGTTGCAGTACTATACGAATCGGGCATTCGGGTGGCGCAACAATCTGGGTCAGGCCCATGTTTTCGTCCTCCCCGTAATGGCCAAAAGGTTTGTCTTTATGATCATTTTGCTTGATTCTCGACTTCTGTCCATGACATGCTACTTTGAGAAAAGAGACATCAATAGAATAGAAAATTTAAATTAAGCTTGTTTCACATTAATAAGGAAGGATAAAACATTATTACTATGCCAAAAAGAGCACGAGTTGTAAGTGTGCATAATGCCTTTTTTTTTTCAATGGAAATCTTTCTTCAAAAACAAGACTTCAACAGACAGGTGGTAAGACCTTACACAGCAAGGTATGCAAGTAACTGTTTGTAAAATATATATATATATATATATATTAAAACAAAAAGAATATCCCCTTTTAACTCATTATACCGTACTAGAGTTTGTAGAAATCTGGATGGCTGCCATAAATTTTTAACCTGCTTTCTCAGTAGGTATATATCATAACCAAGTTAATCACACTTGAGCCATGAAGCCATCAGACAAGTTTCATAAGTACATATCTGATACAAATCTCTTGATTCAAATTTGTATGAACCGAGTCTGTTTACAATCAATCAACTGCAACTCCTCAAGACACAAGTTGAATATTTTTCACCAAGGTCCAGTTTCAAAAATGTCCCCATTCTCACTAACAGATAAAACAAGGAAAAGAAGAACCTATCATAATATTCCTTGACCAAAGCTTCTAAGGAAATTCTGATGTTAAAACTTTGTCTCAACAACTACAGTGATTTTGACAGCATAGTGTCACCCTGGGAACTACTCTTTGTTCTTTCTGGCCTCCGACCCTTGTCTGGACCACCTATAATACCCCAACTCTCGAATTGCCTTTGTCGAGCTCTTGCCCTTTCTTTCTCCTCTTCAGATTTTGATGAATAGCAGTGAGGGCAAGTAACCCCATACTCCCACTCTGGAGCTTCCATATCAGAATCGCTCACAGGTTGCTTGCATCCATAACAAAGCTTGAAAGTTCCCTGCACTAACCCATGGTCAACAGAGACCCGCTTGTCGAACACAAAGCACTCCCCTTCCCAAAGACTCTTGTTCTTTGGTACTTCCTCCAAATATTTTAGAATGCCACCTTCCAGATGATAAACCTGGTAGGCATAAATAAAAAAATAAATAAAGAAATAAATGACAAAAAATAGCTAGTGAACAAAATATTGTTCCATAAGAAATGCTTTTTCAGATATATCTCTTTTAATTTCTATAATTCAAAAATTTTAGGGGGGCTATAAATTATGGTCTCCTATACATCTCAGAAAGTGGGTGGAGAATTACTGCTGCTAAAATCCAAGACCATTCAAAGCTTGTCCAAAATTGTTCCTGAAACAATTTCAAGAAACCTATCAAATCTTTCTCTTGGGGCAACTACAGCCACAATCCACTTAACAATATTTTCAAGGTTTTGATTTCATCAATCATGTAGCATCAAATGATATAAAGATACTTTACCTCCTTGAAACCTTTGCTTAGGAGAAAACTTGAAGCTTTCTCACACCGAATCCCACCAGTGCAATACATTGCAATCCGAGGAGGCATTTTCTGTCCTTCATTCTCCACATGATGCTGCTGGTTTCCATCTGAATCACTGGAATCCAACTTGGCATCTGACTCATTAAGTCGGAATTCATGATCAACCCAGGAAGGGAACTCCCTAAATACTGAGGTGCATGGGTTAACTGCTCCTTTAAATCGCCCAATTCTAGTTTCATAGTCATTTCGGACATCAATGACCACCTAAGTAGGGCATAAGTCAATAAACAGTTTTTTTCGTGACATAAAAGGTACGTCTGACAACTTTCAATGTATCTTAATGCAGAGGAAAAAGATCCTTTCCAGAAAACAAGCATAAAACAATGGTCATTCCTATAACTGCAGAAAAATTTAACATTCTTGGTTCTTTCCCGGTGAAAAATAAGCAATTCCCATGCCCTGCTTTTTTTAGGTCTTCACAGAGAGCAAGATTAACCAGAAACTCAAAATCAATTTAACCCTAATACCTACTTAAGAGGTTTTAGCCTTCCAAGAAATTTAAGTCAACTTCTCCAAAAGAAACATGCTTCCTTTCAAGCTGACTTAGGCCATTTGTTATGATAAAAAAGAACGCCTTTCAAGAAGAAGCAAGTAGTTACATATTCTATACAGAAGAAAAATTTAGATTCAAAGGATAACCAAAGAGGAATCAGTGTTCAGTAACTTACCGTATCTGGATCACTTATCAATTTATTCCAATCCTTTGGGTTTACATACTTTCCAACTCTTTCAATAGGTGATACAGTAGGCATGCCTAGGGAAACAATCTGCTCGAATGAGATGTAAACAACATAAGAGGTATGTGAGAAAAGTAACCACAAATTTGTGAGGAATGATGACAATCCAAATAGGGAACCAACTCCTTTGTCCCTATGCCTTAGTGTTTTAACAAAGTTATAAACTATACCTCTTTCTTCAACTTAACCCTCACATGATCCCATCGGAAAGGTGCATCTTCTCCAGCTGCAAGAGGAGAACTGCTGCTGTGTCCGTGATGGATAGCCTCTTCCTCAGGGCTTACAGGTGACTCCACTTGTCTGAGGCCCTTCAGGCATTTGTCTGTCTGAATAAACTCAAGAACTTTTTCCACTGAGTCACGAGTTCCACATATGCTGCCATTGATTCCTTCTGGAGCAAGAATTATACCACCTGAAACACGCTGAACATAATCAGATTGGTGAGGCAGGAACATGCAAGAGAAAATCTAAAAGGTAAATATCAAGAAGAAATTGAAACACAAAGACAGAAAAATGAAATATAATACAGCTCAATCATAGCTATTGCGGATGATGAATGATTTACAGATACAAGAAAATAAAATTAAAAACACAATAAGACTGTACTTCCCATGAGAATATAGCAAACATGAGGCCTTCACAGGGAGAACAATACTCACAGAGGCCCATTCTCAGATCCCCAAGCATCTGGAGGCCAGCGACTTGGTAAGACAAGACTGAATTGTGAATCAAGCCTGCCCTGAAGACCTCCTAAAGATTACTATGCCAGAGACATTTCACACTCCAACTCTAGTACCTTCAACTAGTTCTAGCTCATGCATAAGGACAATGTAAGCTTTGATTAGAGTTGTGCAAACCATGCAGCCTGCCAGAAGTACTCTTCCCATAGAGTAGCTGAACCACTCTTGCACAGCTCCCTTCAGTGAATGACTCACCACACTAAAATGATTGTAATATTGAATCATTAACCCGTGGTGTCTGGGATAATTCCTCTGCGAACGCCTCTAAAAAATCCACAATGCTTCATGCTCAATCAATATATACAAAAAAGAAAAGCAAACCAAGCGGTCCGCCATGTTCTATGGAATGCCCATTGTAATCCACTGACTGGTAGTGCATCACCTCTAGCCAAAAAATTTCCATGATCCATACCTTTCTTAACAGGTGCTTAGCAGATTAAAAACGAGATTCACTTTGATTGACACCAATTACGTCCATTCATAGGTATAAGTTACTTTCACTTAGACGGTATATAGCTTTAAAAGGCTACGTGCAGCTGATGCCTAACATGACTTTCAACTGACCCGAAATTACACTGGAAACTTTACAATTAATGACGAGCAACCGAGTAGAATTCTGGCAACTTGTTCACTTAACTTTGAATCATTAACATACAAGATAACACAGCGAAGTAGATTACCAGCTGCTCGCAGAGGTCCTTCAATGGCTTTTGCAAGTCGGCGTGGTCGGGGAAATCGGCAAATTTGTAGAAGGAGACCACCACAAGCGACTCCGGACTCGACTCGCCCTCCGCATTTCCCAACTCTTTCGCCCTCGGGACAGCGAGGGGACTAGTCGTTGCACCGAAGCATTTTGAAAGAACCATGCCGCTGGTTCGAGGAAAGAAGTGAGAATCGGACCAAGAGATGGTAGGGTTCGCGAAGAGAGGGAGCTTGAAGGTTTTGGGAGGAGTGAGAGAGGTGGATCTGAGATTAAGATTGGAGCTAGGGTTTATGGTCGAAGACGATAGCATGCTCAGTGCAGGCAACGAAGCTCTGAATCCGAAGCGCAGCAACGGCTGGGGTTGCATCGAGACTATGCAGCTGCGAGCATAGCTTCGCATCTCCCCTGAAAACCAGTGGACTTAGATGCCAACCACGGCCAGGCCCATTGGTCGCCTTGGTGGGCTTATCCAAGTGCGATATATTTTATTTGCTTTAGGCCTGAAATTAAATGAAAAAAATATATAAATTCTTAATATAAATTTGATACGATTTATCTTAATTCTTAACACAAATTAGTCATTAAAATTTTTAAATACTAAAATTAATTCCACATAAATGAGTATGAAATGTTATAAGTATTATTATTTAAACCAAAGAATTTTCTAAATCCTATTATTTCCATTTCCTCTTTTTCTGAAAAAAAGATATCATCTTGTTGTATTTGGATCAAGGGTTTGAGGGAAAAAAGGAAAGGAAACGCCCAAGAATCTTTATTCATTTATTTTATTTCCATTTTTTCTCCCAAATTGTATAAGTTTTTAATTTAGTACAAGTTGCTTGGGCTTCTCTCTCTCTCTTAGATGGATTCGAGCGGGTTAAGCCTGTCTTAAATCCATCCTCTTATAGATGGATCAAGGTCGGGCCGGATAATTCTCAAATTCGGGCGGGAGCAGCCCCGTTTGGGATGGGGGGGTAAATTTGTCATCGCAAGTTGAGGGAGTGACGTTAGGCTGTTTGAGATGACAAATTTTAAAATATAGTAATTTTTACGAAAAAAATGGTTCCAAAATTATAAGTTTAATATTTTTTCCTTAGTTAAAAATAAAAAGAAATTAAGAATTAAATCCAAAATATATCAATTTAAAGTTTAAAAAATCCTAAATCAAGGGTGATAAATCTTATAATATCTAAAATTTTAAAATGCCAATTATTTCAAAAATTTTAATGATATAATTTTTGTAAAATCTACATATATCAAACAAATTTGTTAGTTTGTGCTGATGGGACAGGACAACCTGAGTTTGCTTTATTAAGCGCTGCCAAAGTAAATATCTCACAACTCTTAGGAAGTCAGTAGACAAGACCGTTATCCAAATAAAATGTCTCACAAAAGTTAAAAAGTCAAAAGTCAAGATTGTTTTATACAGAAAAAGTTAATTTTTTTAAATCTATTTACGTAAAAAATTATGTAACTTTTGTTTGTATATACTTATTTATTTACTTTTAGTTTAATTCTTTATTTATTTATTAGTTAAACCACCAGTGCTATGTTTGGTAGAACTCCCAAGAATCAAGGGCAAAAAGAGTAAGCAAATAAAATCTTGTAGAAACAATTTCATGCTTTCAAAAATTTCTTCTATTGGCTCATCTCAGCACAAAGGCAAAAGTCCAATATCAATCAACCTTTTAACTTTAATTTAGATGTATGATATTTCAACTTTAATTCAGTGTTAAACATAATATTTTATATTAATTTTAATCAATTGGCATGAGATGAAATTAATTTAAAATTTTTAATATAAGTTCTATATTTACATATATTATAATATATAATATATAAATATATTCTATAAAAGTAAAATATAAATATTTTATATAAATTATATATTTATATAAAATTCAAAAGAAATAAGATGTTAGTTTTTTAAAATTTTTAGATTAAATATTTGGTTTTGTATTAAAAACATTAAAATTTAAAAATCCAGGAAATATTTTTTAAAAATTTTTTATTTCAATATATAAATAAGATGTATTATAAAAAAAATTATCAAATATTATAAATAATAAAAGTTTTAGGGGATATCCATATTAATTCAAGAATTCATAAAGTCATCTTCTCGTTACGTATGTATGGATATATTTACCACTTTCTTATCTTATGTAACTCAAAGGTCAACTTATAATCCTATAAACAAGATAATCTATTTGTGGAAGAACATGAAGAAGCAAAAGACTTTTGGTCTCTATATTTCTTCTCTCAACTTTCTGTGCTCTCTCTTCATGCTTACTTAAAATTTTGTAATACATTTTGGCATGATCCATCTCGTGAAGTTTTAAACTGTAACAACCCAGGTATAATTTAATGGTATTCTGTTTTTTCCATTTCTACTCTACGATTTTATATATTTTTAAATTGTGTTATCTCAATATCATTATATTTTATTTCTCAACTTATAATTTATTTTAGTCATTATTTTATATTAGTCACGAATTTAGCTAATATGTTCATTTAGCTAAATTAAAAAATTCTTCCAAATTTGTAACTAATATACTTATTTAACTACAAATTTAGTTAAAAATGTCTATTTCAAAGCAAAGTTTTTCAATCGAAACAATAGTCACAATATAGTCAGAAATTAGATAAAAATTGTCTGTAGTTAAATTTTGATTGTAAATTTTTTAGGGAATTTTTTAAATTTAGCTAAGGTTAGTCTCTAGCTAATTGTCTAGCAAATGCTAAATTTTAATATTTTTTCTTTTCATGATTTTATTTGGTTCTCTTTACACTCAGTCGATGCTCTCACTCCTCCACTTCAGCTCTTTGCTTACTCTCCGCACTTTGACTTCTTGCTCCTAACATGACAACAAACCATCGACTTCTTCTTCTCTCGTGGGCTTCAATGTTTGCTTCTTCCTCTTTGATTGCGTTTTGAGTTGGTCAACCCTCAATTCAACACTTCAACACTGGACCTCGTCATCTCGCTCGTCTCGATTGAAAGGTATCATTTGAGCTCTAGGTCTGGTATGGTCTATTCATCCGTTTGCGTAATGTTCATCCGAGCATCCTAGTTTGGTATTGTCTTTGATGTTTGATTTCACAAATACTTCAACCCTTTTTTGTGCGATTTATCTTGTATTCTATTTAGATTTGCAGGTTATCAAATTTGAATTTCACATTAATTCTTATGAGTTGTTCAAATTTTATAGTTCTCATCTTCACTGTCTCAATAGTTTCAAATTCTTCTATTAAGTCTAGTCTTTTGCACTCATAGTGGTTGACAAATTGCATCCAAGAGAATCTATAGAATGAAATAAAATTATTATTATTATAATCTAATTAGGTTGCATATTGGACATAAGAATACAATGAAAGCATGTAGTTATGTTCATCGTTTTAGGCATGTGTCGCAAATAAATTTATTTGAGCTATTAAGGATGAAAAAGATTTGGTTTCTGAACGTGGGCTAGTGTAGGCTCACTTGCAAATTGAGAGCAGACAAACTACATGGACTGCAAATGCAAACATAAAGAATTCTGTATTGATAAGAACTATGGAGAAATAATGATACAGAAAGATGAACCAATTAGTTAACCAGAGAAAAATATACATAAGGAAGTAGTAGATTAAATTCTTAGAATGTTAAGGAATGGACCAAAAGATGCTTATTATGAAAAAGGAAAAGCCCAATTCACTTTTGTGTACTTGAAAATGTTGTATTATAATGCCTCTTTTCTTTCTACTTATGTAGACCTTGTACCTCTGAATCTATTACTATTTGAATGGATTATATTATGACTTTGAGTCTAGTCTTATTTTCTATAACAGCCTAGTCTACTAGTAAATATTTTCTGCTTTAAACCAAAACTCTCACAGTTTTAAAACACATCTACCAGATACTGAGGCATTTACACTTATAAGCACAGTATCTCTCCCATGTTTTGTTAATGTGGGATTTGTCTAAGGTGTTGCATACACCACTTTTGGGACTCAGTGTTCTCACTGAGGTTTGCCCCATCATTGTTTAAGGTTGTACGTAGAGTAACTTTGATACCATTCTGTAACAACCCAGTCTACTAAGAAATATTGTCCGCTTTGGGTCAAGACCCTCACGATCTTAAAACACATCTACCAGATACTGAGGCATGTATACTTGTAAACCTAGTACATCTCCCATGTTTTGTCGACGTGAGATTTACCTAAGGTGTTATATTTTCTGAACTTAATTTTATTATTGCTTATAAAATGTGATGATGGTTGTCAAACCATTCTTATCCTACATTGTTTATGCTACAATGACACTTAAAGGTAGCCTAGCTGATTTTACTTCATAGCTAATTCCAATAGAGATTCAAAACGAGTTGTTTTATATGTGAGGAAGATATGTTAATAAGAAACTTTTGAAGCATGGTTCAGACATATCCATTGTTAGCAAATAATCAAGTGTATAATCGTTCATTTATGCCCCTCAAGGACACAGATATCAAGGGTGATTGTCACTCCACTGAAAAAAAAAAGAACTAAGTGTAAGTGTAACAACCCAAATTATTAAAATTTTTGATAAATTAATTGGGTTAGGGGCTTAATTACTTAAATTAAAAGAAGTTGGGGTCAAATCATAATTTTGAAATTGTGAAATTGAAGAAATTATAAGACTAGGGGCTAATTTGAGAAATTAGAAAGTTTAGGATTAAATTGAAACTATCATAGGGCTAAATTGAAGGAAATAAAAGAGGCAAGGACTAAATCTAAACAGCTAGGGTTGAGATTAAAAGAAATCAAAGTTTAAGGGACTAGATCTTGATAAAACCTGCAAGTTCAGTCCAACAGTGGACTAATGTTATGACCCAAATTTAAGTTTTATATAGTTTAGGGAGCATAGTGTAAAGATTGAAACTTAAGGGGGCCAAATTGAAAATATCTTGGGAACTAAATTGTAAAGAAGCAAAGTTGAGGGACTGAAGTTGAAATTTTCAGAAGATTTGTCAGGAACAGTGCTCGAATACTATTCCTTGTCGATTCAGCCACGTCGTGCCATGATTCTGATCGGCTTTTAGCACGTTTGTGCGTGTATTTGAGGGGTCAACCAAACCCCTCAATCAATTGGAGTTTTTTAGCGAGGGAGAGTGAGAATTTTTTGAGTTTTTGGCTGGCGGAGGGCACGGAGGACCGAACGGCTTCTCCTGGCTTTTGGGAGCTTGTTGGTGGCTTTTTCTTTAGATTAAGGTTAGCTTGAAGCTCGCCTGGTGTAGATCTTGGTTTCAGGGGTGTCAATCGGTCCAGGTAAGCTAGTTTTCTTGTTTTTTTTCTTGATTTTTCTGGTTTTTCCGATTGCAGGTGTCGGGCCTGCAACCAGGTTGAACGTCGAGGCCCTGGCCAGTTCACCTTCCCTAAACACCCTAA